AACAACTGAAGGCATAAATAAAAATAATTTTGTTTAAAAAAAAAAACGTAAAGCCTTCCCCAGAAATGCATCAATGGAACTGAGATGCCAAAACTTACTGGAATTGGTATCATCTGATTCAATCGTTTCCCCCACGTCTCCATCAGCACATTCATCCATCTCCTCCAAGAATATAGCCATTCATCACCATAATATGAATTCTTTTCTGAGCTAGAACATGAACTAGAAGGTCCCTCATCAATCCTCTTCTTGATCACTCTCCTGTCCTACAAATTTTGCATAAACTAAATACAGAAACAATAGAGTAATGCAGAAAAACTGAGCAGCTTAAGAAGACATAAAGAAGGAATATTCAACATACCGGGGTCATAGTCACCTATAGGATGGCTGCGCCAGTCTTGGGAATAAGTAGATAGCTGTAGATTTTCCTCCAATTGATCTGAAGGTGTGGGAGCTTCTGCAACTGCGAGTTGTGACAGTGTGTTGTTGAAGAGCATGTGCCATTAGCTCATCATATTCTACTTGCTAAATTCAGTTTCATAGTTGTCTTCATTATAATAATGCCCATGATAGCAACTAACATTTTCCAGAGTAACAGCACCACAATAACCACAGGTAGAATACGGGCCCGCATCAAAAAGCTGCAGGCCCCATCGCACAACATCAGGATCTTGCTCATACGAAATCATCTCTCCGATAATAGCGTCCTAACTCAGAAAAATTTGCCGGAAACAACAGTATCTAATCCCAACGGAATGCCAGAACTCGGCCAATTTTACAATACTTATGTAAAGAAAGAAACTCGCTTCACATAGTCATTTCAAACAGCTCGCAATCCTGCAGAACAATAATAAACAGAATTATTTCCCATATTAATGACCAAAGATATGCCGAGAATAAGAAACCCAGTGCAAGTATAAACTTTAAGGATTTGGCGTTGAGTAAAAATAAAGTACGTTTTGGCCTCCCTGAAATCCTTGTTCCACACATTTAGAAACTGTCAAGCTGACCTTTAATTCCAATAGGACAGCTCTACGTGAACTCCTTTTTCAGACCAAAGAAAAGTGAAGATTCATTAAAAGACAAAAAATCAATCCTTCACTTAGTTCGGGCATGATATCGCACTGGACAACAACGAATGAGAAGTGAGAACAGTGACCAGAGAGGAATTTTAAACTCACAAAGCATCTCCCTCAGTGGCCACACCATCCACTTAATCTTTTCCATATATAAACAAGGATACGAGCACGCTCTTGACTTTATAACAGTACAACATGGAAACTGACCTTTGTTGACTGCAAAAAAGATGAGCTGAGAATTTCAAACAATCATTATAACACTCCAACAATGTTAGCGACTTAAGGTAAGAGCTCGTAGTAGAAACCAGAAAAAGCTGAAGTTTAGGACATCAGACATTAAAGTCCAATATAATTTGCTAGCAAGCAGCGGTAAGAGTTCCTTCGAATGCGTACGATATCAAGGCACAACGATAAAAGAACAAAGAAAAAAAATCATCGGACATCCGAGAAACGGAAATGAGGAGCAACGTTTCTAGCAGGCGTTCTCAGATGGCAACGAAGATTTAAAGGAGAATGAAGATACAGAGTAGTAGCAGAGGTTCCTGGAATTCGATACCTCACCGAATAGCTTTTGTTCCATTATTCGCAATGATTCAGTAGACAACCAGCGCATCTCATAGTTACAAACAGTTGCTCAATCTGAACAAACTTGAAGCAAAGAATAATGAATTCAATATGCGAAGCACTGGAAAAGAGAAAAAAGAAATGAGAGACAGTGATGCAAAGCTTCCTACACATTTGGGTGAAATCGGAGAATATGCAGGCTCTGCAGCATTCGTCCAAACAGGAAAACGAAACAAGTTCCGATCCGAAAAGAGCCATAAATAAAAGCCGATTGAATTTTACAAATATGATTAGATTAAGACATTTATAATTATGAGATAGTAAAGAAAATGGGGCGCGGGAAGAAGGGCGGGTAAGACGCCAGAGAATGAGAAGACGAGGAAATGGAGAGGGAGTATCTTACTATCTTTTCAAGGGAAGGGCTCCAGAAAATGCCAAGATGGTGAGGGGACAGATATCACGAGGTTTGTTCAGTGTTTCAGAAAGCGAATCTTTGAAGGGCGAAGAATGTGACTGATGATGATGTGAGAGAGTTTCTCTGCTTCCTCCTCCTTCTTTCTCTCACTGTTTTTTTTTTTTTTTTATTTAAGACAAACTTTGACTGTCTGGGATTAATTAGCCATTAGTACTCATTAGTGGAGGGGGCAGGGCTGCAGTGGGGGCGGACGTGAAATTTTGGCCTTACTCGAAAGTCGAAACTTGATTGATTAGCTGCTTAATAAATTAGCTTAAAATAAGCACTTTTATGAGTATTTTATAAAACAAAATTCGTTATAGTAGCAAGGTTTTCTTTTACTAGGCCCACGTCTTAATCTTATCGTTACAATACGCAGTCCATGTAATACTTTTTTTTTTAGAGACAGAGTCCATGAAATAATCTCACTGTAACAATACGTAGCAACTTTCTTTTTCAGACATAGATATCCTTCTAATAGAGACAATTCTGTTTAAAACATTATTAGACACTAAATATGAGTATCTCTCTTTACAAAGACTCGAATCTTAATTGATTATATTGCAAAAACTAACTCTTTTACTATAGCTGACTTTCATTGCTCGCAACTTTTTTCATCAATCGTAGCGTAAATTCGTTTGTATGATTAGGATGTCTTGTTGGCACAGATTATTTGGATATATTGTTCAGCGATTTGTTTTTTCTTGGATTTGTACGTACATATATTGGGTAAGATTCCGTTCAAAGGTTTTGGATTTTTGCCCCGAGGGGGTCCCATATATTCTTTGTTCTGCGATTGCTTGCTACTATTTTTTTTATTTTTTATTTTACCATTTTGGCCGTTGCTACTTTACTGCTATCGGAGAAATTCTTATATGCTTTGAGAATGACACATCATATGAATTCTGATTAATCAGAAACTAACACCTAATTTAATAAATAGGAATATTCTTCTAAATGTTACTTCCTTTTATTTTTTTAAAAGAAATACTCTTACAAAATCGAAGAAAAAATTATAGATCTAAACAACGTAAATCTCAATTGGTAAAATTTAAGCACGCACGAGGGGGTCAATGAATTCAAAGCGCATACATCCTCCTTGGCTCAAATGTTTCCCTTATGTTTTGAAAGGAATGTTGGCTTTCTAAATCACAGTCGAAGATCAGGTTTTAGTGTTTAAGCATGAATGCATAACGAGATTGTGAAACTATGGCAGACAATGAATCCCTGATGAATAAATCCGGAATCCAATTTTATTTCTTTGAAAAAGGCAGAAACTTTTAGCGGGTTTATGAGCAATCTTAAAATATGGGTCGGATCGAAAAAAGGTTGGGCATTAGCAAATCTGGGGTGGTTCTTTTAGATCGTTGCTTCCCACCAAATGCTTAGAAAATTCACTAGTACGAGGTTTGATGGTTTAGTGGACGTCATTTTCACAGGTCCTGTCAAAATAAAAACAACAGCTCTAGAGATGGCGTCTCTTACACACAAAAAACAAAAGGGAGTTCCTTCTGTTACCCTCGACAGAGTGGCTGCATGGTTAGGAGAGGTGACAAAATTTCATCTCAAAAGTTTAATCTTTGCGTACACAGCAGAGATTACCGGGACGGGGAAAAAAAAGAAACGTGATTCTGTCTCGCACCTTGAATGGATGTCAAGGAACTTGCCAGACGTCCATAGATGTTCAGCCAGTCTCTGAAAGATGTTAGCCATGCTCCTGAAATGTATTGTCTCTAAATGACAATGACCGTAAATTGGCATTAGAAGGCCAAAGACACTGGAAATAACGGATAGGCCGAAGATATTCCAAAACCAAGCACACAGGGAAAGGAGGAAAGACAGGCCTATATATGTTTTAGATAGCATTCCGTATATCTGAAATGCTCGTCTTATCTCCAGAGCATATCACCCATGAATTTTAGAGCCGGGACACCCCTTATCTCCATATCCACTAACGGTACCTCGTATAATCTCAAACCAGCGAGCTCTGAATCATCATGGATACGTTCAATGGCACGCATTTGATCCTGCAGGAACAGAAAAGTCAATGAAGCGCTAAAGTTTTATTTAGCATCTAGCTTTTTAATATTTTGGCTGTTATCAAAGGATAATCATTATCTTAGAGGGAATAATTCTGTGGAAAACTATCGACACATTTAGATTATAAAGCTACAGAATTCTATCTACGATTCACAAATTAGCCGTGCCAGGATTTTCCACCTGTACCCACACACACTTCATATCAACCTCACTAACCCATCAAGAGTCAGAGGACTCAGTTTATGCATCCTGTCTTCTGTTCCTCTAATTTATGCAATTTCGTCCGTCACTGCTTAGATTCTGGTTCCCAAGCCGGGATGAAAAGCCTTTAATGTCCTATTAAACCTGGGAAATTCCATATAGCAACTTCCACAAAGTTCACTCCTAAAAAACCAAGCCAGTGATAAACTACCTAGGTATTCTGATCTACTATAGAAGAAATTATATTTTTCTTATACATGCGACCATAATCAGATGCAGAAACATGAATAATCCTTGATTACCTTCCTTTTCATTGAACAAAACTTGCAGTCCGATGAAGAAGGCAAGACTTGATTAATGATAAGCCTTTGAACTGGAACTCTTTCCTTCTTCAAAGATGCGTGTAACCTTGAGGATTCACGGATTGCCATAACCTTCAAGAGAAATAATCACAATAAGATTGTAGCAGAAGTTGAAGATAGACACAAGTAACAACGAAGTTTGAAAAGAGATAGTAAACTAGTAAAGTGAATAAGAAGCTGACACAGAACAGCGTTATAGAGTATAATCTCTATTGACGACAAGCAAAGAAGCCATTACTAATGGTGTTTTAGGAATTATATATAACAGAGCCCACGATGGTTCGGACAGAAGATTCAAAAGAATTGTAAAGGACCAGAGATAGCAAAGTCTTAGCTCATGATGCTAAAGTAGGAGCGAAGGGCAGCATCAAACAAACGGGCTTCAACCAAAACTATAATGTATAGAATTTAAATTGTGAATGCGTTAAGTATTAGAAAGCACAATAAATTAATGAAACCGGCACATTGCATGCAATATGTTTGTTGCCTTTATTTCTGAATTCTCATACCTAGACCCTGACTTTGACAACATTTTAAGATTCATGTTTGTTTATTGTTTAAGCATCTATGATTAACAACTTAAAAGAACTTCTATGGTGGTTGCTCAGCCCTGTTAGGCTTAATGAAATAAGGCCCCTAGATGTTGTTGGAATTCCAGTTCCCACTGCTAGTAATCTTGCAAAGCAGCAGCTCAGCATTACCGTAGGAATCGTTACTATTATGAATTCAGTGGTGTCTGAATCCCGGAAAAGCTCCCTTACTTTCGCCATCTGTTGCTTGAGTTTCTCTAGCTTGTCTGGCTGCAGGTACAAATTCAGAATACTTATATTCCAACAAGAGAAAGAGGCCTTTTAAAAATACTTTTAAAGCTTACAGCATCAGTTCCAGCTTCTTCTTTCCCAAACAAAGATTTGAACGCCGAAGACAATTTTTTCTTCAACTGGATAACATAATTAGTATCTTAGTAAAATTAGTGAAACTCATTTATAAATAAGCAAGCTATGGAACATTAAACTTAGAAAGTATTCAAGTTTAAGATTCATACCTTCATCACTTTGCCAATAGATCCATCCAGGAAGTCAGGTAATGACAGTAGCCGAAGTGTATGACCCTAATAACCAAATAATTAATTATGAATATCGATTTTCTCCATATAAATACTAAGTACATTATGCATGAACCGATAAATGTTACAGACCGTAGGTGCTGTATCAAATACAATCCGAGTGAACCTATCATATTCTGATGACTCAAGGAAATGCATCACCTGGATTAAAGTAGCATAATTAAGAAATATCAGTACATAACCTTCTAAATAATTGATATTTAAAAAGGAATGGAATACCTTGGAAATTGCTACGATTTCATCTGTGCCGGGTGGAAGAGTATGCAGCAGCTCTTCCAGTTTCAGGTCCCCTAGCTATGACAATTTTCATCAACCAATAAATTAGTAATATTAAACTAACATTTAACAAAGCAGATTTGAACAGCAAAGGAGTCAAGTAGATTCAAAAGGCACTATAGTTTCTTTGTCATGTCATTGGCGAGACAATGCAGATTTCACGACTAGAGCCAAGAATAAAGCTCCTGAGTCTAACTATGGAATCTTAAGCTGTAACTAAGAGAGATGAACTAAAAGTAAAAGAAAGCAGACTTCATTAATATAAGCATCCAAAATCATTAATTGGATATTTAATTATCATCACCATTATTTTCTAAATATATAAATATAGCAAGATATAAGCTTCATGTTTGTAACTAAATGTTATAGGCTTCAGGTTTCAACAGTTAAGAGCATGAAAGCAATAACAAGAGATTGGGTCTCTAACAGGGCTCAGAAACAACTATATCATAGAGCTTGAATAACTTGAGAACGAAGGAATACTCATAATTAACACTGTAACAGCAGATACCACCTGGTTAGCAATCATTCCAAGTCCCATACTTTCCATCACATTCTTCAGACCTCCACTATCAACATTTTGATTGGCTGCATGGAACTCTTCCATAGATTTCTCAGGGTTTATCTGTCATACATGAAAGGTTAAAAATGGAACATATGACTTATGAAGTTTTGCAATGGACCAATCAAAGCAACACCAATTTGGTGCATGAGAAGTTCAATCATTGAATACCTCGAGTGCATATAATCGTGAATCCACTCCTTCAACAGGAACAAGCCTGCCACCAGTCAAATCCTAATGGAACTGTAGCGTTATATCACTGAAGTTTTGTCAAGATTCTACAGTGCACTACAATAAAGTGTATAAGCTCCATAAAATCTATGAAAACTGTAAGCACCTGGCCAAAAGAGTCGCTTAAGGAATGAGCAGGGTCAGTTGAAACCACGATAGTAGGATGTCCATGATTTGCAAATTTGACAGCAAGGGAGGCAGCACAGCTTGTTTTACCAACACCCCCCTTTCCCCCAAGCATGTAATATTTCCGCTGGTTTCCCGTCATCATGCCATCAAATCCATGAGCAATTTCTGTAGCAGTTCCCAGAAATCTCACTGCAGGAAGGAATTGAGTTCAATTGCATTTTGGTTCCCAGTAAAATAAGTATCTAAATGAAAGATGAATAAACCCCTTTCACAAGTAAAACAACGTCTGATGCTGTGAAATGCAGCTTCCTTCGAACTACATATCTCCCCTATGCCCGTTTAGCGAGTACTATCACCTCTATGATCAAACATACAATCAAATTCAAGGCCTGCTGCGTCAATTCCATTTCATGTATTAATAAGTTGGTCAGCGCAAAGTGCAAATCATTACCATTCAGGGTGAAATTTCTCATTTTCTAATGCTATCATGCGAAGCATTGTAAACTAGACACCAGATAGTAAACTGTTTGCTGCAAAAAAACTACGTGATATTGAATTTGCTATGCTGTGACCGATGCTTTGAGCTAAGTTCCTTTAAAGTTTAAGCATAGTTTTCTTATGGTCTTTTTTAATTTTGGCCAAGTTGTGTTCTGATTCTACATTTCTCCCTCCAGTTATTTCCTTCACGTCTTCTTATGATTTTTATTATTAACTCACTTGATCACAGCATCACACATAAGTAGAACAGGTCAGGAAACAATCAATGAAGTAAGCTCCCGCTGTCATGAATGGAGAGCGAAAAGGAATGAAATACCTCGAGACGAAGTGATGAATGACACGTCTTGTAACGAGGACGACGCAAGGTAAAAGCTTCTGCAGTAAAGAAGGGAGTGCTTTTGGGTCCTCGATATATAACGAAGTAGAGCCGCCATTGCCGAGCAGTTTCCCGACGGCGTAAGGGATGGCACCCCACTAGGGAACTAGAAAGAGCGAGGGGCCAGCTGCGGAAACTACGCTTCCTATGCGCGAGGAAAAACAAAAGAAATTAAACCATGAGTTTTACTTTTTTTTTTAAATACTCCTCCGGATCCTTACTATATAACCTAATTAATGAATTGGTTTTGATTCTAAATATCAAAAATCATTTTTCATATTTATCAATTTTCTTTAAATTACTTCTATAAATATTCCCTCAACCATAATCAAGTAGAAGAGGAAAAAGGGGTATTAAAAAAGATAATTATAGTATTTTAGGAAAAACATGTCACATTTCTTATAATTAACTAATTTACTTAACTTCCTTAATCTAATCAAATTAGTTAAATGGGTCTTATATTAAGGATCGAAAGAATATATACAACTAAATTTGGGAAATGCAAGTTTTTGTTTTTTTGCAGGGAAATTTGGAAAATGCGAGTTGAAGGAAAGAATAACCATAGCGGGAGTTAAGCCATACAGAAGTTAAAAAGAAAAAAGCCATATTAGTTAGTCATTTTAGTTGGGATTTTTTTTTTGCTATTAAAAAAAAATTCCTATGGTCGCTAAAAGGATGAGCCGGTGAAGATTCTTGGGCCCAACTTAGTGGTCCATTATGTAATTGAACCGCAAATGGCCCTAAACAATTAAGGGGAAAATTGCTGCTTTTCGCTTCCATCACTTTTTTGGCTCCCAACCTAAAATCAATTGTCTTCACGCTTTGAGACCTAATGTTGATGATTTATGCCGGCAAATTGACATGTGGTTCTCTCCGTCACTCTGACTTCTCTTATATTACAATCTTGCATGCATCATTACAACTTCCTCTCCAAGTCAGAAACATCCGACGAAAATTAAACCAAACAAAACTAATCTTAAGAAGGCGGCAAAGGGAACATTGTAGTATCTTATTTCTTCTACCTAACTGTCAATCGGAGAGCTTTCTCAATGAACAAAAGTCGGATATTCCGCAAATCGGAACGGAGTCACCAATTCTTTAACACCAGTATTCAAAGACACCTTTTTAAAGCAGACTGAGCTTCTTCCATAAGCTTCTCTTGGTTATTGTGAATTGGTCGTTGCCATAGAAAATAAGAGCCAACTTTGCGGGTCCGTGTGCAAAAATTTTATCATCCTGCACGAGCAATTGCATGGGCACCAGCTTTATATATGCCAACAAAGATCATTTTCCCCCCCTTTTTTGGTTATATGTCATTTTACTGAAAATTGCTCCCCAAAAAAAAAAAAAAGGTTTACTGCTCCTCGATAATCAGAATCTGTTCTCGGTTCTTTTTCTTATGCTTCTGCAAGAATGACCCGTCCATCGCAGACCCATATGTGTCACTAGTTCCCAATTTCAATGAGGAAACCGCCCACCTTTGCCTCCTGGGGAAAAAGGTGGTTAGAATTTAGAAATATAAGAAATAGAATATACAAAACATAAGCTCAGAGATGAGGAATATTGCAAGCAAAGCCAAAGGGTGACTTTTTTGTGTGTGCATGATGCCCCACTCCCACCAGCAGCCCCACCCAGAAAGAAGGTGGTTATTATCCGAGTGCCTGAACCAGCCCAATGAGCATCTTCTCTGAAAGCTACCTCTCATCCTCCCGAACAATCCACACAACTTCAACTTCAACATCTGCCGCCCTCTCTTCACCCCTTTCTTTGGCCCCAAGCTTGTGTTATCCTCCCACCAACACTCTCATGAATGTAATAGCCCTCCTATTTCCTGCTGTTTCAATGTTTCTTCCAGTAGTTGCACTGTGTTCAAGCTTGGGTACATCCAAGACCCTTCCATGGCCAGCCAAGTAGAATCCTCTCTTCACTCCCCCTCTGAGATTGTAAGTCTACTATACTTTTTCTATCAGGAATAGTGGGTTTTTTTCTTTTGGGCGTCTTTAATCTGTATCACAGCATGTCAGTTATGAGATTACCAGGATTAAGTAAGTAGTGGTTGATTGTCTCTTCCTTTGGTTTCAGAAAAAGAAGAAACTCAATGGTCAGCAGAAAAGGGAGGAACTTGAAAGAGAGGTATTATGAATTCTGATATTATGCACACAAAGCACAATTCTGCTGCCCACTTAATCTTTTTGAGAATATTGAATGAAAGTACTGTAATTGCCTTGGAAGAATGATCGATAAACTCCTAAATTTGGCTCATATTCATGTCGATTGCCGACGAGATAATAAGCATATTTGTCAATGGGTCCGAGCATTACAAAACTGCCTGAAATAGAATCATTGCATCCTAGATTGCTCGCCTGAATTTTGCCTGATCTGGACATAAGAGAACATTTGAAATACATATGTGTTCATCCGCTTGTTTGCGTTAATTTCACCGTTGGCAGCTGGCTCAAAGCTACGTGTACTATTTTGTTTGTCCATTTAAAAGAACATTATAGAACATAGGTGATTTTTACGGTCTAAAAGGGTGTTTGGATAGAAACCAAACCATGGTTTCAAAAGTGCTTTTACGGTTTATGAAGTAAATATATAAAGGAATTTGTCTCGTTTTGAGAAAAAGTGTTTCTGAAACTATAGTTGCCAAACACTCTCTAAATAATTCAAGTTATCTTTGGTTTATTCAATCACAATGGGAAGTATAAACTGCCACCCGCCGTTTAAAAAGTTAGGCCTGTTAAAGTTTTCTCATCACGAGTATGTAGTACAAAGTACAACAGTTGGAACTACAAATTTCATACAATTGCCGATAAGGGTGGTGGGTAATAAATGAGGACCGTGCCTTTTAGGGGCTCTGCTTTCGATAGGATAATTTATGACCATGCATATTCTACCGGAAATATCGATATGTACATGTACATGATAGAGGATTATGTGATGACTTTTTAATGTAACGATTAGGTCTCTATGCTTCAAAGGTTGTTGGATCAAGAAGAAAAGGTTCATGAGATTTTGGAGATGGTTTATAATCGGCCGAATGGTGCAGCCATATCGATTCCAAATTTTCTTCCTCCCAAGGTAATATAATACCCACTTGATTTTTTTCTTCCTTGTTATTTTAACAAATGGTTAATTATTTTATATTATCCATGTCATTTGAGTAGACGAAAGAGCTTTTAACAGAACTAGTTGTGGTGGAGGGTGAGATAGCGCGACTGGAATCCCAGATAAGACAACTTCAAGCTGGTTTGAGATTGGAACAAGAAGTGAATAAAGAGTCAAAACCAAAATATTGGAATCAGGACAAGCTGAACAATTCAGAAGGTCCTTTGTCAACGGCACCAATTCCGATTCCTATGCCAAGTCCTGTTCACAGAAGTGTTCATGAAAGGATGGCATTTGAGACAAAGGCACTACACTTCATAAGCAAGGCTATAAAGGGCGATTATCATCTCAATGATTTCGCTGTCAACGACAAATCTGGGTCCTTGAAGAGCTCTGTTGAGCAGAAAGAAAACAATTTTCATGAGGATATGAAATTTCAAGATAGGCATCCAAAAAAAGGTGGGGCGACATTGAAGCCTAATTCTTCACCTTTTCGAGACCCTCGTCATCCATCACCTAAGGTACTTAAGCATGCTCGTTACTTGTTTATTCATGCCATGCCGTCCAATTTTGCTAAAAAAGATTGTTATTTGTGGAAAAATAGAAATAAAAAGTATGGAGCTCATACGCATCATTAAATAGCGTGGTTTGTGGGAGTTTAATTTGTTATACTATATATAAAAATTCAGGCACACCATGGCTTTCATATTTTTGTATCACTACATATTGTTTCAAAATTTTATCCCTACCTGTACGGAAATATGGTGTAAAATCCTTTTTTTTTTGGCGGCAACAGATTGTAATACAATCTCGCTAGTTAAACTAAATTTATAATTAGATTTGATTGCCAACACTTTGATTTCATTTTCAGCTGAGGGAACGGAATTTAGAGATGTACATAGATCCACCAACGAAGTCTTTATTGGATCCACTTCTATCAGAAGAGAACGATCTGAAGTGGCAACCCAACAGGTTGTCTGAGAGCATCATGAAGTGTTTGAATTTCATATACGTGAGACTACTCAGAACATCAAGAGCAACAGAACTGGAGAAATCGGGGCCCATTTGCAGGTCTGTCCACTCCTCTTTAAGCTCAATAAGCTTCAGGGTGGATCCTGGCATAAACCCAAAATCAAGCCTTGTGTTGCAGAAAGAGTCAAGACAACAAGACCCGTATGGAATTTTCGATACAGAAGAGTCCATTCCCAGAGATATTGGTCCTTACAAGAATCTGGTTATATTCACATCCGCTTCTATGGATTCCAAGTTCATCTCAAGTCCTTCCTCTATGCCATTGCTTAGAAAGTTAAGGTATCCCATAAATCAAATATTTCATGGAGAAAACTAAATTAGACTCAACTTGAAATTCATATATATATGTATATGCATATGCATATGCTAACTCACACGTTTCTCTAATGGAGCACAGGGTACTGATAAATAATCTTCAGACAGCCGATTTGAGAAGCCTTACCTATCAACAGAAGTTAGCATTCTGGATCAACATGTACAACGCTTGTATCATGCATGTACTGTAAATTTGATTTTATTCTTCCATTACGTGCAATAGAAGTTAGCTTAACTTGATTTCACGATGATGATTTTTTTTTTTCAACATTCCTTTGGCTTCTCCTCTCCTCTGGTATGAAAAAGAAATCTAGAAAATGAACGGTAACTGATTTGCCTAAGTTCTTATCTCAGGGTTTTATCCAATATGGAGTGCCATCCACACCAGAGAAGTTACTTGCACTGATGAACAAGGTACAGTCAAGAATCTTGACATAGAAGTTACTTGTCCTGTTCCTACATTCTTGAGATTCTGAAAGTAAATGGAACTGATTGGATGCAGGCCACGCTCAATGTAGGAGGAAACACACTAAATGCTCAAACAATAGAGCATCTCATTTTAAGGAAAAGATCAGCTTCAAATATAAAAGAGGTACATATTGTGGTACCCCCCAATTATTATAGCAGGCCTAAACTGAGTTCTGTTAATTCA